CGCTTCGCCAAATGGCGCAATGTTCTCCAGCTCGATCCCAAGAAAGGCCTGCCGAGCAAGCTCGCCATCATGGATACCGTTCACACATTGGCCCGTTACGCGTCCATTTGCCAGAGCGAGCGCTTGGTGCCCATCGTGGAACCCGAGATCGTGCCCAACGGAGACCACGACATCGAGTACTGCCGCAAAATGACGGAGATTGTCTTGGCGGCCCAGTTCAAAGCCCTGGCCGACCACCGCGTCTACTTGGAGGGCGCCGTGTTGAAGCCGAACATGGTCAAGAATGGTCTGAAAGGGCCTAAGGCAGACGCTGAGACCATTGCAAAGCTCACAGTGCAAACGCTCTTGCGCACGGTGCCGGTGGCCATGCCGGGCATCTTCTTCCTTTCCGGCGAGACGGCGCTCAACGAGGACAATGAGGAGGAGGCCACCGTCAATCTTAGCACCATGCACAAGCTCTACCCGAAACTGCCCTGGCATCTCTCCTTCTCCTACGGCAAGGCATTGCAGAAGACGTGCATCGTCACTTGGTTGGGCAAGCCGGAGAACAAGGCAGCGGCGCAGAAAGCACTCAAGGCCCGTTCGAACGCAAACACGGATGCCGTCTTCGGGAAGTATGTGAAGGGAAGTTGCCCGAGCGTGGGCACGGATGGTAACGTGTTGCAGGCAGCCGGGCCATATTAATTCGTCGCGAAAGCGGAGCCTGTGTCCAGGATTTTCTTCGTGCCAACTAACTAGCACGAGCATCCTTTTCATAGTGAACTGTATGTCACCCTTTGGCACCTGCAGTTCAGCCCAAAGTGCATGAACTAACAATAGAGGGGTGTGTTTGATGAAGTTTGATGGTACCTTGCATGACCTGTGACCGGCGATGTTTGAATCGAAAATCATGCGCGGAAGAGCTTGTCACAGTATGCATGAAGCTGCAAAAGCATGCTGACCGCTGCGATTGCTACGTGCTACTCCTGGGACCCATCGGTTGTTTGTCGCTGTGCACGTCTGTAGCGCCGGTTTTTTGCCCTCACCTGGAGAGCTCGAGAGAGAGACTCCATGCAAGCGAGCATGCCGATCCTGTCATGAGAGGCACTGTACGGTTCCGCAAGTATGCCCCACAGCTAGTCGAGATGTTCAAGACATTTTAAGAGCATGTCTAACGATTGGACTCGACACTTCATGCTGGATGTCGCGAAAACTCCAGCCGGGCTCGCAACCTGCAGAGTCATGGGGCTTGGAATTCTCGGGTGTGTGACGCGATGTTGGGTAGGATGGAGACTGTGTCGGACGGAAGTTTGAATGCGGATGCTTTTGGGGATGCGATAAAGAAGGTGCAGACCTTTTCCCCTCCAAGTCTACACAATCGCAAAGAGTGTGGCAGGCACGGCCCGGGCCTGCAGGTCCATCGAATTCAATTCGGCTACTGATCGAACGCCCGCGGAAGCTCCATCTTAAGATATGTCAGGCGGCAGAGATCCTGCGTTCGGCCCTGAATGTACATAATACGTGCCCGAAGAGGGAAGAATGATGATACAAACTGTAAACCGTACCTCAAAACTCTAAACCCAGTGTGAAAGCGCCGAAACCCAAAGTCTTTTCAACAGCCTAGATTCACAGTCACAAGCCCGGGAGCCGAAGTCCCCAGACCTCCAGCAAGAACTCGTGTACGACCATAGGCCTGCATCTTAATGGCTGTGTGTATCTGTGCTTTTCGATGCATAACGGGAAAAGACGTTGCCTTCAGTTCTGGGAGATGCCAGCAAGATTCAGAGATATTCAGAGTCACCCGTCCTTATCAGAAACATGAACCTTATCAGCATCACCGCCAGGCTTATTGTTATCAGGTTCCTGCCGTTTCCATTTACGTGTTCACGCGTAAAATCATGAGGAGTGGCACTTACAGCGTTATCATGATCATGATGATCATCGCCCGCTCTAAAATTTTCGGGATGATAGGCGACGTGCGTGGAAGCTCCGCAAAAGGTGGACCCCTGCAAGTTGATCCCAAGCCCAGTCATACTCAAGTTGCAGTCATCGCGATGGTTTCGTTGCAGCGAAAGCGGCATTCGGCAAGCCCCAAGCCAGAAACATTGCGCGCACGCACCCGCACACACACACACAGACAGACACACACGCACAATATCATACCCCCAGCAAGCACTTTTCGTTGTATTCACCTGCAGACCGACAAAAACTAAATGCACATGCACTATTGCAGCCCACATGGCGTGTCTGCGCGCGCTTTATGTAAGCGTGCATCAGCAGTTCAATTGTTTCTCCTTTGTTAGAGTTTTGATTGAATCCACACGTGTGGTTTGCCCAAGCACCCAAGCAAAAAAACCTCCTCAAGACTTAAGCCCTCACTTGAGGAAGCAAAGACCGCAAACTCGGCGAAACAACCGTTGCGGAAAGGAGCCGCGGAAGCGATATGAAAGTTGAGTCCCGCGGAAGCAGCTAAACCCTCGCGTGCGGAAGCAAGCGGAAGGGTCCTGCGGAAGGGTTTCCGTATTTCTCTCCACACAAGCAGCAGCAATAAACGCCCACAGCTCTCGTGACTTCTACTATGCATCCATTGACTGCCTCGCCAAGAGGCTTTATTCACAAGATGCTCGTTCGTTGTCCCGAAAAATGCTGTGTTCTACAAAGCTGGGTGAAGCATGCTGCTCAAGGGTGCAGAGCTTCAATGATCAAAAATCCTGACATGATGTACTTCGTGTTCAAGAACTCACGAACGCGCATGTGCAGGATCGCTCAGAGGTTATCTGTAGCCTATTCAGAGCCACAGAGACGATCAGAGCGTGTCTGTTTCCAGTGGAACAGCCTCAATCTGCGGGATGCCCCAGAGTGCGCTCCCTTTCATAGATCGGCCCTCATGCCGAAGCTGACACTTTGTAGTTCTCGTCCGGGGGAGGCAGGTCCGCTTTGACTGACCTGCCGACGAGTTTGAAAGAAGAGCTCTATCTTCATCACTCGGCTTCGACCTTCGACGGGCCGCTCCCATGTTTGCACAAGGGTTGCTTGGAGCACCCATCGATCTAGTCATCTAGTCCGCTTCCGAAGGAATGGAAGGACTGTGCACTCCCGCACTTTCTTGGAATGTAGCGTTTGGGAGCTGGGTCTTGTATCGGAGTCGTTTGGCTCGTGCTCTCGAGAATCGCTGTAGATGCTGGAAGAGGATGCTTTGTAACCCCGAAGTTGACAGCAGCGTTGTTCGAAGACCATGGAGGCCAGACTACGTAGCAGATTCCGATTTCCTCACATCGCAACCTTTGCCGCTCATGGCCTTGGAAGTGGGAGACCTGGGCCAGCAGATCCTCAGCGCAATATGAGCGACTCAGTTCCTGACGCCAGTAGGACGGCACGGCAAGGATTTGCTAGGACACATTCCGGGTAAACTTCTCCTGCGAATTAAGTCCGACTGCGTCCAACCAATAATGCGTCGCACTCGCACTCCAACCGTGGCTTGAGCCAATGTATTCTCAGGACCCTCATTGCAGAGCTGCGGGAGGAGTTCCGTGTTGAGCACCAGAGAGCCACAGCTGAAGTAGGGTCATTCACGGCTGAGAAGCTCAAATTTTTAGGGCCTGATGTCCTACACAAGGCCGGGGTAGCGTTGTTGCCGGGCATGACAGCCTGCGAAGTGCAGTGCAGCATTATAATCGGCATTGTCGTTCCTGTTTCTGGAGTGAGAGATCACCCCATCTCCTTAACCGTGTTACAACGATGTACATCACCCGTAAGATTATTTGTCTCCCATGCTACTACAGTATAACGGTATTGCAAATTGTGACGTCGCATGCCTGAGAAGATTGAGTGAACACCCCGGTTGTCTTCCAAGGGCTCCAGAAATCCCTCGAGACCGAGCGGGCCGAGCGCGTGCAGAGCATTGCCGGCATCCGTCAATCCACTTGGAGCCTACCGAAGATTGTGCTCAAGCGGGTTAACTGCCGGCACAGGGGGGAAGGCATCGTCCTTCTGATACCCAGCTTCTGTAGAATTGCTTGGGCGACGCTTGGTCTAGCGACACATGCTCTCTTTGCTGACGGCACGGTGACCGAAGGACCAGCACCAACCCCCCCGACCCCCCCGACAAACTGCAAAGGCTGCTGAACAGTCGGTGTTCGTCTTTATGCAGTCATGAGATGCCGCTCGTATTTCTGTGTGGGGTAGGCTTCCGTGCTAGGTGGATACACTGGGAGCCTCTCTCGTCGAGGGCCTGACCATCCTGGGTGCTGACGCTTGGCCAGGAGCAGGAGATCCAGTCTTCAAGGCCAAAACCGGGAACGGTGCTACGGATAGAAATGACAGAGACAGGGAGACAGGGAGGCCTCGGGCCCCTGCGAATCTCAGGAAGTCGAGAGCCTGATCTCCTTGGTGATGCACCTCAAGAAGAAACAGGCAAAGACGACTCTGTTCGCTTCTTCCAGCGTCCGTGTAGCAGGATGTCATTTGCATGAGTCTGCGAGATATACGCAAACGAATCCATGCACGGTCGCAGCTATGTAGCACGTACTTCAGGTGCTTGCTTGGATCTTCTTCTTTTATGAAGCAGGCTCTCATTCATAAAGCTGTTGGGGTGGTCCTGCTGAGAGGCTCTCTTCTTTACTACTTTACCGGCATAGCTAATTACTTGAGACGCAGTAGCCCGCAGAGGAGCATTGAGAGCCTTTTTAGTCTCAAGGCTCCAGCCTGTTTCGCCCAGAAGGTGACTTCCACCATTGTCCCGTTGCCCTTGGATCCTTACACCTTTCGCCATGACTTGGCTTCAGCTGCTGCTCCAAGCTGCACTTTGCACAGGCGCTGTGGCAGGTAGTGCCAGCTCGCTGAAGCGCCGGTTGCAGCAGACGACTACCTTCGCTTCAGGCGGTGATGGCTATGGCTATGATGGCTATGGCTATGATGGCTATGCCGGCGCCGTCACCGGATCGCCCGGTTACAGTGGATATAGCGGCACCGTCACCGGCTCGCCCGGCTACGGTGGATATGGTGGAGACTGGGTCTTCTGCGAAGAGTTGTACTGCTACACCAGCGTCTACAACGATGCAGGTGAGGTCGACTGGGACGCGACAAACATGATTGAACCCACGTGCTCTGCCTATGACGAAGGCTGCAAGTGTAACGAGCAGTGGGAGGAGGAGTGTGACAGCTGGGGCTACAAGTACTGTGAGCAGAAGAGCATTGGCTGCTACGACCCTCACGACGTGTCTTGCATGGATTACGAGGTGAAGTGCAAGGACTCCTTCTCCAGCTATTGCTGGGATCCGTCATATGGAGCCTGTCCACTGTACTGCGACAGCACACAGCTGTACTGCTTCTCCTACGGCTACGATGAGAAGGGCATGCTGAACAGCTCGGACTACCGTGAATACTGTGCGGCCACGGAGACGGGTTGCACCTGCAACGTGCAGTGGGAGCACAAGTGCACGGATCAGTGGGGCTACAGCTGGTGCCAGGAGAAGACCCAGCCTTGCCCGATCACCTGTGGCACAGATGAGCAGGACTGCTGGATGACGCCGTACGGTAAGGACGGCTATCCGGATTGGAACGCAAGCTACGAACAGACTTGCCACCCAATCGACCAGTCCTGCCCCTGCGACCCCGTTCATGAAGAGACGTGTATTGACAACTGGGGTACCTGGTGTCAGTCGAAGGTTTATGGCTCTTGCCCGATAGCTTGCGGCACTGACGAGATGACATGCTGGGTTACGCCTTATGACGACAGTGGAAATGTTCTTTACGACGGGGCATGGAACGAGGTTTGTGCACCAGTCGAAGATGGTTGCCCATGCAACCAGCAGTGGGAGAAGCAGTGCACAAGCTACGGCTACACGTTCTGCGAGGCCAAGACGAACAGCTGCCCTGTAGATTGTGGCGAGGTGGAGACGTGTTACCACTACGTGTCAGGTAACCAGACTTGTGCAACAGATTCCGGCTGCATTTGTGAAGCAAACGAGATCAGCTGCACCAATCCGGACACCGGCAAGGTGGAGTGCTATCCCACCGACTGGTATCCTTCTGGTTGCCCCGTCTCCTGCAAGATGTCTGATGAGATGTACTGCTCCAACGTCTCGTTCGATGCTACCGGAATGATGCTCTGGCAGGACTACTGCCTGGATGGCGGCAGCAACAACTGGATGTGCCCCATTCATTGCGACACAACCACCTCGAAGAAGTGCGGCACCCCAGGTTCCTTCGACGAGCACTGCGTGGCCATCTCAGAGGACTGCCCTCTGAGCTGCTCAGCAGATCAGCAGTACTGCTGGGTGGACGAGTATGATTCTGATGGCATGTGGCTGTCCAGCTCGGAGACCTGCGTGGCTCTGGATGCAGACTGCCCCTGTGGAGCCAATGCGGTGCAGTGCGAGGACCCCTTCTATGGTGGCTACAAGTACTGCACCGCTTCTTTCTGGGGGTGCCCGATCTACTGCGATCCCATCACGGAGAAGACCTGCTACCCGGTATCATTCACGGAAGATGGGCTGCAAGATTGGAATGCCCCGGTTAAAGAGAGCTGCCAGAACATCACCCAGCCATGCGGGTGCGGCGAGAATGCCAAGATGTGCCGCTGGACTGATGAGTGGGGATACGAAAACGAGGTATGCTACCCAACCAGCATTGCATGCCCCGTCACCTGCCAAGAAGATGAGCAGCATTGCTACATCACAGACTACGGGAGCAATGGCTATCCCGGCGTCTACCGGGAGACCTGCATCAAAGCAGACCAGGTGTGCCCTTGTGGAACCCACTCGCAGCAATGCCATGACCCACACTGGGATTATCACTACTGCTACCCGCTGGTGGACTACTGGAGCAATAGCTCCATGCGCTGCCCGGTCTACTGCACCGACGAGGAGGACTACTGCTACAGCCCTAGCTACGATGCAAATGGTGGATGGTTGAGCACTGTGGAAACATGCGTCCCAAAAGGCACCAAGTGCCAATGCACTGGCCAGAACTCCTTCTCGTGCGACTTCAATGAGTGGGGCTACACCTGGACTGAGTGCCTTCCCATCGAGGGAGGCTACTGTCCGCCTACATGCGCCGATGGTGAGGTGAGCTGCCCGGGGGTGGACGACTACAGGCCCGACGGAAGCTGGTTGGGTTGGTCCAGCCCCAGCACGAAGTGCGCCGCCAGCCTCGACAGCTGCCCCTGTGGAACAGAGGCAAAAGCATGCCCAGGTTCTGCCATGCGCTGCATCTTCAAGGACGAGGAGTGTCCGGTGGTCTGCGGGGACAAGCAGAAGAAGTGCTGGATCGTAGACTTCACACAGTCGGAGGAGTACATCAGCGACCGTGAAATTTGCGTTGGGGAGGATGAGAAGTGCCCCTGCGGTCAGAACACACAACGATGCCCCGGCTCAGACACCTGCCTGCTGCCTACCGAGGCCAGCCTCGTTTGCCCTTGCGAGGAGTCGGAGAAGCAGTGCAATGTCGTGGACTACACTTCCTCGGGGAAGCAGTCAAACACGAGCGTTCAGTGCATCAATAAGGGTGCAAAGTGCCCGTGCGGCACGAACTCCTTGGTGTGCCCGGACCCGAACAATGCGGAGGATAACATCTGTCGCCCCAAGTATAGCGGAACACTTCTGAACAGCTGCCCCAAGGCATGCACACCGGAGCAGGAGGCTGCTGGCAACAGGACCTGCATCCAGACGCACCTGACCGAGACTGGTGCATTCCGGTCGGAGAGTGTCAGCTGCGTAAAGCCCGACAACTGCATTGCTGGTGATAACATGCAGAAGTGTCCCTCAGGAAGTCATATCCCGGCCTGGAAGTCGTGCAAGGACCTCTATGGTGCAGGCGGCAGCAACACCTCTGCCGTCGAAAGTGGTGAGAAGCAGAAATCCAAGGTGATCGTGGTGCTGGATGCTGTCAAGGAGGAAGTCATGGAGAAGCTCGAGGATACGCGGGTGCTGCTCAATGGCGAACTCTACCTCCCCAAAGGTTTGAAGACCACCATCACCTACAAGAGCCAGAGTACAGCGGTTCAAGGCCGACGCTTGACGGCCCGTCGCGCCTCCACCACGGGCGCCGTGCTGACGCTTGAGATCGAGAATGAGGGGCCCACATCGGTGGCACCGGTCGACGTGGCCCAGGAGCTGCAGAAGCAGGTCAAGAGCAGCAGTGCTGGTGCCATGAAGGCTTTGGGCGATCTCGGCACCGTGAACACCAAGGTGGGTGTCCGTGTCGCTTCGGAGAAGGCGACAATCACCACCCGCGCAGATGTCGCGAACCAGCAGAGAAAGGCAGCGCTGGGAATCTCTGATCCCACCACCACCACCACCACCAGCAGGCAGGCCAGCCAGGGGCAGGTCACGACGCTAGCGGGAAACACTGGCGACACCGAGACAACCAGCATGGATGATGAGCTCAGTTTTGCCGTGTCGGGTCGGTTCTACCTGCTCACGGTTCTGTTGCTGGCTTTCAGCCCCGCCATGCACTAGGACTAGGATTAGGAAGCACCACGCCGGGTCCTGCAAGGGAGCCGCAAGCCAACGTCGGGTGCTGAAGTGCCACGGGCAATTTAAAGCTCGTGTGGCCTCCAAGCGCTTTACAGGCATAGCTTGATCAGGAGCAGAGCCAATGCGGGATGATGTCACAGGGCCCTCTCTCTGTTGCAACAGATATACAGATACTAGTTACTAGTAGGACCTTAAGTCAAAGTCAGAAGTTTCCAGCTCCCGGGCTCGCTTGGATGGGACTCATTAATTGCTTGACATTTTTGGAGGGCCGCGCTGCCGAGACTGCACATGCAGCCTGTTGCAGAATCTCCCTTTAACTTTTAAAAGTTTTGCTTTCTCTCAGAAGCTCGACAATTAGAAGACACATACAGCTAACACAGACCGATCTGCCTGAGAGCAGGTATGACTTGGACTTACAGGGCGTAAACTTGCGGCGACCGTCGAGCGTTTTCACTGAGATGCGGGCCATTCACAATCAATGCCCTAAGCTGCTACCTTGCAGACAACCTTCCCCTTCACCACGAATATGGTGCCTTGCCTAAGCAAGGGTACCTTGTAGATCGTTGAGGCAAGGTCATGGAGCCACCGTGAAGCGTAGCTGACATGACCCACCACTGCGAACTTCGACATGATCCTTCTGGTTGGAGAAAAATTGAAACGGTTATGCTTTGTGTAGTCTGAAGTGAACTGTGACATCATGGATACCCTGAGCTTGGCTTGCTCAAAGGGACATGCTTATGAGGAGTGTAGAAACTTGGCTGGCCGGGAATTTATGACACCTCTTTCCGCCTTTGCCACTGCTTGGCAACATCCAAAGTTAGAAGTTTCTTAGCCAGCCACAGGTAGGAATTCGTCGCATGATTATATACTTTGAAGGTTACTCCTTCTGTGGCATCAACAAATAAATTATCATCAAATCAGCGCTACCAGTGCGAGAGCCGCCTTGGGGAACGGTCCGGGGTCCGGAGTGCTTGCCCGCAGCCGTTTAGCGACCCTTGCGGTCGGTTCTTGTCTCGGACAGAGAGGGGGAGTGCAGGGCTCAAGCCGCGAGCATTTGTGGGAGCGACAGAACTGTGAAAATGACAGGTCCTCCTACCGGACCCCCTGAAAATTAAACCAAATGAAACTGGCAAACAAAAACTCGATCACGCGGTCAGGGGTTCTGTGGTCGTGTACCATTACCAAGACCCTCCGGCCTCCGTTCATGTTGCCTTTCTCTTCACATGGGTGATTGTCGATGTAAAATTGATGATTTTTGGACACATGCCAAGAAAACGGCTCTAGGGCTTTCCCGGAACCTCTCGCCGGGCCCGTCCCGGGCCTGTTCGATGATTTGATGATTTTGCGATTGGGCGCCCGACCGTCCCGGTCCGCTGCAGTTGATTTGTTGAGTATTTTGAAAGGTTTTTGGAAGCGCACCCGAAACCAGGCAGCTACGCAATCAGCGGCCAGTTCCATGCCGGGCACTGAAGGGGGCTCCGTTTGGTGGTCCAGCTTTCCGCGAATCTGGTTTCTTTAGGTTAGCGGAATCTGAGACGTCTCAGTGGAAGTCTGTTTTGTTCCTGCAGTGGCTAGATGCAGATGTGCAGTTCCTGCATCTTATGTCGATGCATGGGCTTGTCATGGCACCAGGCCAGCGGCACGGCGCAGGACTCATAAGTCCAAATATTTCGGGACGGACCCCAAACTTCCCAAAGCCGTGTCTTCCTGGTGGTTCCCTGTGAAGCCCGGAGCAGGCTGGAAGAAGAAGAAGAGGCCTTACAGTCGATCTCGCCACGGTCCATGGACCGCCGGCGGATGCCACTTCGATGCTTCCAGAGTGTTCATCGGGGTTTAGGACTGGGACGGTCCCCATCCACTGCAGGACAGCTCATGTTAAGAGGAATCCAAAACCGCTTCGCTCTGAGAGAATCCTACCACTACGTAAACGCCCAAGGATGCACAGCTTCGAGCAGGTGGGGCGTGCGTTTGCGGGACATGAGTACTTGCAGAGGGGATGTTGAGTACATTCGTGACCTCAGGAATGGTTGCGGGCTGTAGACTCGACGTCATTCTTGTATGTTGGTGTATGCTAGCATTATGTACTTTAGGCTGTCAGCCCATACACTTCAGATTATCGCCCAGGGTTTTCTTCAGGATTTTGGAGGCCTCTTACATCCATTTTCGCTGACGGTGGCCAAAACGGTGTTCGTGTCAGCCGGAGGATGCGAGTGCCGTTGGTGAGACGGGCTAAAAGGCTAGGCAGCTTCGACTTGGCGATGTAGCGGACAGTGTGGTTGTTGAGGTAAGTTCTTGTCCAACTGGGTGAGCTCGACGAATTAAGGAGGTTTTGCGCTCTGCGATTCCTCCTGATTGTCCTGCTTGCTGTTACGTACCCTTGCACAGCGAGACCTTTGAGGATGGCACGGCAGAGAGAAAGAGAAACAGTAGCGAGGCGAGGCATGTCAGGTGCCGCAAACTGGCAGGGAGGGCTCAGATGAATCATGAATCAAGCTTTGCGCAGCTGGGCCAGCAGCTGACGGACGGTTGCCGTGCTCAACTGGCTCTGGAGCTGAAACGGGCAAACAAGGACGAAGCTATTTCAGCTTGGCTGTGTCTTTCGGGGTATTTGCTTCGTGGCTTCAGGCCTCCATACCAGGATGTGGAAGTCGTGCATCGGCACAAGCAAAGATGCAAAGGGCGCATGATGCAGTAGCAGCTTTTGATGCGGAATGCCAATTGTTCAAAACCTGCCCGGAGTGCTAATGCGATCCTCTATATTGTGTTGGGTTCGGGTCGGGCTAAATCAGCTCTCGGGCGTTTTTGTGGGCGTACTTAACCACATGCTCATAGTTCGGCCGGATGTTGTTTTTGATGTGCTTCTTGCTGCGAGTGGTCAACCACTACCACCACCACCAACCCTGCCGCTCCCGCTACCACCACAAAACTAAAGCTGCTGCTAATCCTGTTGCAGCTGCTGCTGCTGCTGCTACTGCTACTACCACTACCACTCCTACCACTATTATTATTATTATTCTTCTTCTTCTTTTTACCACTACTACGACGACGACGACTACTAGTACTGCTGCTGCTGCTGCTACTACTACTACGACAACGACTACNNCTGCTGCTGCTACTACCACTACTGCTGCTGCTGCTGCTGCTACTGCTACTGCTACTGCTCTTGCTGCTGCTGCTGCTGCTGCTGCTACTATCACTACTACTACCACCAATGCTGCTGCTGCTGCTGCTGCTGCTGTGCTGTGCTGTGCTGTTGCTCCCGCTGGTGCTGCTGCTGCTGATGGTACTACTGCTCCTCCTCCAACTGCTGCTGCTGCAACTGCTGCGGCACACAGTTGCTGTACCACCACGTCTTCTATTATGCCACTGCTGTATGACTACTACTGAAATACAACTTTGCTACCACACTACTACACCCCCCCACCCCCAAGAGCCTGTCTCCCTTTACAGTGGGGATGAGAGGGGGCTGGCCACTAAACGCAGTGCCACATTGCCATTTTTACCCGTCTTGAACGGTTTGTAATGACCCATCATTCGACGCCACAGCACGAACACTCTGGATATGCGGCATTGTTGTGCTGTTCCCACGGCCGGAGCTATCCCAGGGGACAGCTTGCTATCATCGCGCGTGGTCGTTGCGAGCATGCTTGCCGTGCACCTTCGGGGGTAAAGAGGTTCAGACAAGACACTGTCTTCTTTGTGGAGTCAGGGTCCTGACGCTGGCCGTGTGTGGCCAACATCTCAGATGCAGTTCCTTACATGCCAGCACGACCACCGAGCCAACACGCACCCACATGAAACAAGGTCTAGGCACTATTTTGCACTTTGGCGGAGGAAGAGGGGAGGCTTGCTAGAGGAAAACCCCGCGTTGTAGAAATCCCAAGCCCTCAGCAATGGCATACCTGTGGCAGGATTTGCAGTCCTCCATCGCGGCCATGGAGTCTTCGATGCGTGCCGAGCTATGCAGCCACTTGAGCCAGTCGTCTCAACGTTATGACTTGGTGGATCAGCCATATTGTGAGACATGAAATGAAGTGATCCTTCCTTCTGGCGGCTCACATTTCTATAGGTCCGAGTTGCACCGATCTAGCCGTAAGCTTTGGAGTGCAGTTGTTGGGGTCGTACAGCGTTGTATGGTGTTGTATGCCTGGCAGCACTATAGTCAAAAGCGAACCTGCGTCTCACGCCCAGACGTTGCGGTGAACATGCACATGGCTGGGAAGGTAACAAATTCGGAAGAGGCAGGATTCGGGCTGCATAGCAATGTAATCAGCCGAGTCGCTTGTGAACAAATGGCACTGTCCACTGTCTGGCGAGGCAAATATGCCGGAAGAGTCCCCATCAAGGCATCGCCTACTCAAATACAGCTTGGCTTCAGATCGGGCACGCTGTGCCAGCTTGAGTCTGACATGGCTTCGAGTGCTGGTTGTGCCAAACCATCTTCAATGAATGCAGAGAGAAGGACGCAATTGACTTCCGAACTGCTTGGAAAGGAACTCGAGTCTCGAAGTATGTCTTGCACGTGTTTCAATGCCTATGGCATATGGACGCGCATCTGTTAACTCATGCCGAATGTTCTTGATGGTTTTACATGCCTGTGTGCTTGCTTCTGTGTCTGTGTCAGTCGGCATTTGTGGGCATGCGTCTAACTTCGAGCTCGTTGGCCGCTGGCAGTCGGCCCGCTCGATCCAGCCAGCATCCCGTGCACTTTCTGGGTTTCCACCCGTGCACTCCGAGCCCCACAGCATGCTGTGGATCTGAAACATGTGTAAACTGTAGGAGCTGGGGGCGCGGTGGGCTTCACCTGCGAAGTGCACTTGTGCAATGGGCACCCCCCCAACCATGCAGTGCAAGCTTTACGGTGTTACGACTCTCTTGTGTCGTTCTCGGAGACCTTTCCTGGTGCGGACCTTCTTGGGCGCACCAGTTTACAAACCGACGCCGTGATTGAAGCAGCCATGCCTCCAAAGTCGGCCTAAGAGTGCGACAGCTGACTCCTGCAGTGCAGCTGCCTTGGGCGAATGATTGCTGCCCTTTAAAGCAGGAACCCTGACAAGTCTCAGCTTGGAGGTCCAGGTTTCCCAGAAATGCAGGTGTCACAGCTCAGTCAAACAGATAGATGTCCACAGACAGGTCGTGCCGTCCAAGCATACTTCATCGTAGTATTGCGCCATGAGGGTCAGCATGTAACCTCCGAGAAGCTTGGCACGCAGAGCCGGCATCGTGCTGCAGTCATTGAGCACTGTGCGAAGCAGTTGGTTCCGCGTCATTCTTCAGATGAGCGGGACAGGAGAAGAAGCACCGAATTCCGAAGCCAGGAGTGACGTGATAACACAACAGGTGTTGTTGCCAAAGTTGCACACGAGCGAATAAGCGGCATTGGGCAAGGTTTTCTTGAAGTTTCGGGACTCGGGACTCGGAAATTGAGACGGGAGACGGGAGCAAGGGTTGCTGCTAACCGCTAAGCCATCTCCGACCCAGCAATCAGCGCAAAGTCAAGAGAGACACGTACAGAGCAGTTTGAGGCTTCTGGTGGCAGAGGTAAGATTTGGTTGTCACGCGGCTTGGGCTACGCTTGATGGCAGGGTTAGCTCGCATGGCCTGCTCATAGCACACAGCTGTGACATCGTCTTTCGGGAATGCGGGACCCAGCAGCAAAGCAATCCTTGCAGGATATGACCTCGTCAGCATCCATGCCATCGCTGTTTGACCGGCCGCGTAGGCAGAATTGGTATCACGAACTGCGACACTGTGCCGCCTTGCAGAGCAATTTCATGCAATTTCTGTACAAACTGACGCTAACTGCTCCCATCCCTGTAACCGCAGCCTGCTCCACTGCACTGCTTGCAGAGTATATGGCGACATCTACTTCGGACCTACACGCGCAGCATGCGAACTTGTGCAGGAAGGCAACCCGCTTGATCCTTCTTCCATGTTCGAACTGTTCTGCAGACTTTGCACGAAGCTTCTTCCTTACTTTTACCCTCCAGCAGCGATTTCAAGGTCAAGCCTGCAGGAGGAAACTCCGACAAGCGCGCATGCAGAGGCGCTATTTTTGAGCTCTGAAGTAGTGTTTGACAGGATAGGGGGGCCGAAGCAACTGAACTCGGCCGAACATGCAGCAATGAGGCCTCGGGGCTCGAGATTCTATAGACTCGTACTTGTATGGATAGTGTACAGGACCGCGGCGGCAACACGGTCAGTGAAACTGGCACAGGCGATGATTCTCGGACAGCAGTGTTGCATGCTGTTCTTGTGACAATCCAGTTGTTTGGTAGGGGTCCACGCCTCTCTCCTGACATACTGCAAGCCCCACACGGAACCGGGGGATGCTGCGTGGCCAAGGATGCCGGGATCATGGCGACGGAAACGCAAGAGGCATTTTGGCATTAGTTAAAGCAGTGAAGCACACTCTATGGCAGGCAGCAGATGCGGCAACTGGAATTAGGCCATGAGTCCAGTGTGTGCTAGTTTGTGAAGTGGCCGATCGGCTGATGAAGAGGGCCTTTGCCCTTGGCGTTGTTGATTTTGTGTTGGTGTGCCTTCATGATCCTTCATGTACAGAGAGCGTCGGACTAAGGCTCTCTGTGGATCCGAGGATCCCACACAGACACCCGACACTGCGAACTCCACGGAGGCTTGCTGGGATGTCGCCAGCAAGTTTCTGCACGCTGTACAAGTGTACCTGAGATGCGTCATATGATCCACTGAGCGCAGCGCCCCCGAACCCAACGAGCTGGTCTGACCTTTAAAGCACTTAGACAGACGGTGTCGTCAGGCAGATGACGAAGCCGTGGAGAACAAAGTGGACCCCTGGCGAATGTTCTCTCGAAAGGGTTGGCCTGAATGTTGGATAATGATAATGTTGGTGAGTGGGAAGAGTTTGAAACTGCACTCCTGGCCTAGAGCCTGACGGGAGAGCGGACGCCGGCTGTCCAGAGTGAGCCCACAGCCTTTGAAACCCTGCTCCTGGTGCTGGTTGTGTTTGCCAACATGACGGAGCATAGTTCAGCAAAAATTGTTCAGTTGTTGACATTTCCGTCGCAGTATTCAATTGCCACATTGAACCAAAGCTGCGCGCTTGGGCGTCTGATTGAGATGGATGGCGTGATCGCGGCAGCCTGTTTCGCAAAGCACCCTTGCTTTCCCACAAGTTTCTTTGGCGGTCATCCTGGCGGAAGTGCTGGGACCCCTTGGCGGATGCTGTGTCATGGTTACAAAACGGTGTACATGTTTAGTTTAGACGGTGCCGCCCCGGATATTAGTGGGTGATTACACTGCTTGCTAGGTCGCCGTCGTGAAACTGGCTGGATGCAGTTTGTGGTTGGAGCAGAGATTTCGCTACCGCTACAGACTCTCAGTGGGTCAATAAGTTAATGGTTAATGTCTCATCTAAATATTCCTGGAAGTTTCTTTGTTGAAACTGCTCGTTAATGAGGACTGCATGGAGTCATATTATGATATTTGGCAGTTCAGGCTGGTGATCAAGCTCTCGTGGTAGTTGTCAAAGTAGCTGCTACTCCTTTGCGGGAGAATAATGCAAGCCGGCCAGTAGTGCTGCTTTGTTCGAGCTTCCCACTTCCTGGCATAGTCCAGATGGACAAAGGATCCGACAAAGGATCCGGCATCCGTTGTGGCAGCCCCTTCGCGGAGATTCGCACAGGATGAGCTTGGAGGGTTTTGTCAGACATAGTAGGCCGGTAGGCAGCTATCGGATCGTAAAACTCCCGGACACATTCGAAAGCGCGAGCTGTATTCCCGCAGCCCGCAGTGACAGTATTTGGCAACGTAAAGTTGTGAAGCATGTTCCGCGCTGGCGTTTCAAGCCGAACAAGGAAGACAGCAAGAAGGCCGACGAGACCTCCGGCAAAGAGGCTGAGGAGAATGCTCGCCGTGCATATAGAGCGCAAAGATTCGCAGAAACTGGCCGACCTGCGCTATGATAGCCATGACTGTAGAGTTCGACTTGGAGGAAGTCAAAGCGACGCCAAGCCGAAGCCCTTCTTCTTGTTTTCGGCCAGCTGCTTGGCTGCATCAGGTTTGTCCCCGGCCACCAGGAGGCAGCCCCCGCTCCAAAATAGGACGACTTTCTGTTCTTTCTCTTGTCGCTGCAACTTCTCCGCATGGGCACGGGAAGATATCAAACCTGAAGAGCTGACAGCTCGAAGTCACTTTCGAAGTTGGCCTCTCGAGGAGATGTCTCCCCAACGTGGAGTGCCAATGCAGGACCTTGGATGTGGTTTGGGCTCTTTGATTTTTCCTGCGGCTCAGAATGTCAAGTGTTCCCATGAATGGCATGCTCTCATCCGCCTGCTAGGGCTGTGCCAGTAGGGACAAACATTACTCGCAAGCACATAGGCCAAAGGATGCAACACCATACTCCCGTAGTTTGGGTGCCCTCGAGGTAAACCGGATTCTGTCGCCTGGCATCTTGATGCCCTACTGTACTAGTAGCTCGGAGATTAGGCTCGAAACTTTCGATGCCAAACTTTTAGGATCCTTCAGGTCGCCCTTGGCTCGTGGTCCGTTTCGGGCTTGCATCGGTCACCTTACTTTATGCGTTCAGCTCTTTCTGACATCTTTGTATTTTAAGTTTTTGCGCCAATCTTTGCGAAGGCAGCGATGTCGCCACGTGCCTTTCCACTGCCAGGCCAGCCCGAAAGAGTGAGGGAAGCGACACCTCGTCATTAAAATGACATGCTTTCTAATTCGCGAGCTGGGAAAATGCTCAGTGAAGCCAATCCATGCTGCCGACAGGAATGAACCCGGATCCTGCTCGGCGACTGCGGCAGCATTCAGGGGCCACAGAATAGCGCAGTCCCTTGGGGCTTAGTGAGGAAAAACACCCGTTTTGGGGGAAGGTTGTCTCATGCTTTCTGCTGCGCTTGATTCTCACCTGAGACCCACCCAAGCCCGAACTCGCACAGTTAGCAACACTTTAGATTGCCATCTTGCAATCTTTGCCAGCGCCTCTGAACTTGCTTCGGCGCGTGTGCAGCCATGTCCCGAGCCTCAGTTCTGTCACTGCAGGCTGCCGAAGCCACCAAAGCCTGGGCACCAGGCAGCACGAAATGGGCTTGGAAGCTCTGGTTGTTTCTCCTGCGTTGACGAAACCCCGGAGCCAAGCCTGTACATAGCCCTGCGCCGCTTGCCGGTGGCAGGTTCCTTTGACATTGGCTTTGCCACCAGGCCAGCATTCAGAAGTCATGTTGGAGAGCCTTCGATGACGGGGAAAACGTTGCTCGAGCGCGATCTGCAGGAAAGATACTGTTGTGTGTGGTGAGCACTTCCATCTTAACTAGATCATCTTAGATGTCGGAACTGTTGCCCTTGCTGAGCTTTGAAGTTGTTGGTAGCTCCTCTTCCACTCCTCGCGTGCAGATCTTCTCTTGCCAGGCAGGGCAATCGCTGTGAGGACCATCAGCCCGCAGCGTGGTTGTATCAGGCACGCAGTGAATTGCTCTTTTCTGGGCTCGCAGACGCCTTGACCCGAGCAGAACAGAGATCGCAAGCAATAAGGGTACACATGTTCCATTGCAGAACATGTAACAGCAGTTCGAAAGGGAATGGACACACAGAGTATAACCGGAAACAGTTTTAGGACAATTAGGATGCCGATCTATCTTCGATTCGCTTGCCTTACCGCAAGACAAAAGAACGGTGCAGCAGGCTGAGCAGGAACAAACGCAGGTTCCGGGGGTCAAACTGGAACAGCTGCTCAGCCTGCTGCCTACAGGTCGGGTTCCCAGTCCCAGCAGACCCCGGGCAAAGGGCAGGCACATCCTTACCTTGCGCGAGGACAGGGAGGGAGAGAAAATCTTGACTCAGTTTAGGAGGCTGTGTTGCACCATGTCGAGACATGTGCGTGTGGATTAGTTCAGGTGAGAAGCTGCACAGGTTTCTTAAAGACAGCACCGGAGCCTTTTGTATTTCCGAACATCTAGAATCTAGATTTCACCAGGCAGAGATGTGCGCCAAACAAGCAGCGAAGCCCTGCGAATGTGCAAACAAATTGCACACACACCCTCGACCCTCACGCCGCACAATTTTCATATAGACTTGATATAGACATGCGCAGTCCGTGAGTGGCATGTTCATCCCTGAGGACAACAATCCACCCAGCAGCTCCGACCAGCTTCGCAGGTGAGCATTGCACTCAGCAATAGGGCAGCGACGTTGCCAATGGCAAGGCAAGACGGAAGGGTTCGATGTTTGGCTATGTTTGGCTCAGGCAGTCCGTACCTCACCACAACCCTGGCTGATGCCAGCAAGATGCCTCAACAGGAGCAGGCCGGGACGGAAAATCGGCGCTGCCGAATTGAAGTCGTTTCTATGTTCTGTGAGGAAGCTGCCCGTTTGGGGGCCATGCGGCTCGCTGTTGCACAGAGTCGCCCTCCGCCCGCGGCCAAGTGGGAGTCTCTGGCAGCCTGGCCTGGCCCCGAATTATGCGTTCACAGTGAGGATAATAAGACGGCATGTCATGACACATCATAATGCCATGATAATACCATGAGACTTACCGAGCAGGCAGCTCGGTGCGGTAGCCTGGTCACATCAAGACGGGACTAAGACTGTTGTCCGCAAGGCCTCCTGCACCAGCAAGTGGACGACGTCAGGCACCTAGGAGCAGGGAGATGGCTACTCTCGTTGCATGAGTACTCGCCCGAATTTCTTTCCCCCATACATTCATCGGCCCTTTTGACACGAAGATGCGACGTCGGCCGACCATATCAAGATATTCAGAATTGCGGCACCAGCGCAAGGGGTGCATTCTTGTGAGGTGACGGCAGTGCTTCTTGGTGTTACCACCAGTTCAGTGCTCTGGATGGTTGTGGTGACAGGTAGGTGGCAGTAAGCAGTCAGTAGGAAGCCGCGGATCCGGCAGCGTCCCAGTTGGAGAATGAAATGTCCGTCAGTGTTGGCTGTAAGCGTTCAGGAGTGAGTTTTGGGGAGTATGGTACAGATCCAATGCTCGTAGGTGCAGAAAAGCAAAAGCCAAGTCTACAGCAAGTGCCGAAACTACTTTGCGTGTATGTAACATTACAAGAGTTATATATATATATATGCAGCTAAAAAAAGATAGATACATACATACATACAAAAATATAAAAAATACCCCCGGTACCTAGGTTGTGTCCTGTTCAAGTCAGCCGCCTTGTCCCTAATATGTGTTCGTGTCCCTTGGTTGTTGCGTCTCTGGGAAACCAAGCCTTTGTTTACCATACTTCTGATTCTGGCTCCCGAGGCTTCTAAATTTAGGATTTACTGGATGTTTCTTAACTCAGGTTCACTATGGTCTTTGATCCCGAGGTTCCTCTGAATTCATGGAAATTGTTGGAAATGTTGGTAAAACCAACATTTTCTATGATTTGCCTGGTGGGAATCATGTGATGGAAACTGTTGGCGATGTTGGCAAAACCAACCTATACCGACCTTTTCCATGATTTGTCGTGGGGGAATCGTGGAAACTGTTGGTTTTACAAATGTTTTCAACCATTTCCATGAATTTGGACAGACCTTGGGAGCCGGAGCTATGGTTTCCAGAATCATGGAAATTGTTGGAAATGTTGGTTTTACCTACATTTGAAAGCAACTGCCATGATAACCGAAACAATGGCTCCGGCTCCCGAGGTTTCTCCAAAATTATGGAGATGGTTGAAAAGGTGGATTCGCCAACATTGTCTACAGGTAAAAACTTCGAACCGGTGTTACCGAAAGTTGTGATTGAGCACATCTTATGTACTCACGCGATGTGTGTTTGCGAATATGGGCCGGTATGGTATTCGCACCATTGATTAAACTCAGCAGTTTGTCCATCACGAAACTTGGTTATCATCTCTGCTTGAAGAGGTTACTGCGCGAACAGCAATTCACCGTTTTTTCTTCTTATCACGCCCAGAGCTATACTTCATGTCTGCGGTTCAAAAGTTTGCTGTAGGAACAACTGCTTCTGTACGAACATGCTTATGCTGGGGTAATCACGCAATTCTGAAGACAAGCGTATATGGTATTTAAGGGTGTCATATGTTGCTTGGGGCTGTAGTCGTTGTGTTTATGCATGTTTTGGTGGGGCTTGATGTGCTTACAACAAAGAGCCCTTCATCAAAAGACTATCAGTCGTACCAGAATTCTGACATACAATGTGGTAGGTGCAACATTTCCGAAAACGCAGTTGAAAAGACTGCAAATCTTCGTCCGACCATATTATGAACACACTTAGGATGAACTAGACTAAACATGTCGAACTTAACTGGACCCGAAAAAAGAAAAAAAACTAGCAAAGTCGACCAATGAACAACGGAACATAGAACCTACGGTGTGATACACAGCCACGGCATGTTGTCTTATGTTTGACTTGGGACACCGACACTCCACTGCCAACAGGTTAGCAGCAAGAAAATGTGTTACTTGATGAACCATCATCCTACCAAGAGGTCTGGTAAGCACAGGCGTGAAAACTCAAGGTGCTGAATGGTAGGTTCATACATAAAATGTATAAACACAGGACTCAGCTTGTAGTACGTGTATTGTGTGTGTGTATATATATATATAATGCCTGGTCATTATTCAACAAGGTTTCTGAACAGTATACGAAATACCTGAATGAGCCATGACAGCAGTAGCTGACACAGTGAACCTTGATTCAGACATGATAAGAAGCCGGATGTACATAACGATCCACCTTGATGCGAAATGTGCGTGGGTGGCCACGGGGATGCTACGGTAAGATCCCATGCCGTGCAAAGCTCTTTGTTTAGTGAGCTTCAGTAGGCCTGAACCGCCAGACCCCCACTGGCTCACTACCGTATGTAGGCTCCTCCGGACCACCGGCATTGTTGACAAAACATGTTCCCTATGCCATTACTTGCTTCTCAGCCTTTTCTGTCCGATTTCTTTCGTGCTTGCTCATGATGCTCAAGCAAAGATAGAGGTTGCTTTCGGCACAGACTTTTGCCACAACATCCATAATTCATGGCTGACTCATGTTTGCGACATGCCCCACCCCTCGGTCCACTAAAGCAAAGCATCAGAATAAAGACGAAAACCTAGGTACCGGAGGGGG